CCTTCCTCTTCCTCCTCTCCCACTATGAATGGGCTGTTTGGACACTGTCAATTGGAAACATAACACACATCAGGCAGTGATCACCCCATCAGAGTGCTCCCCTTCCCTCCAGTCCACTCGCAGAAAAACACATAGGAGCAAACACATATACTCATTAAAAATGAGTTATAACTTGACATAAATCATATCCAGATTGCAGTATCTGAGATCAGAGGAAAAAAATGAAATTACTTAAACCAAGTCACAAATAGTCCACAACTTGCATCCCTGTGTGAGGAACACTCTTTTCAGGTGGTGCACTCTGCTTATCCAAAGGCTTATAAGTGATTAGGTCTTTTAATAAGGAGTGAGCCATTCCAAACCACCTCGCACTCAGCAGGACTTCTAAAGCACTCACATGATAAGGTTGTGAAGAAAGAGTAAAAGGAGGGCTGGTTTCATTCTTACATGACTTCATCGGTGTTCAAAGGACAACACGTGATGACAACTGCAAAGTTATTCTCTATCTTATTGAAGGAACACATTTTAAAATTAAAAACCATGAGTAAATCTACAGAATAATTCAGTTTTCATATCAAACAGTTGCAGACCCTGTAACTGAAATAGCGTGTCTAAGGTTATAAATGAAAACTGTTCAGTATCATTCTTTGAGTGACGGATTAAATTCCTAACCCAGTTATGGTAATGGCCACATTTGTAGTTTAACATAAATTAAGAGCTTAATTATATTTGTGACTATTTTAAACAAAATAACAAATTCCTTTGTACCTGTGAATGTAATTTATAGCAAAGCCACGTTCCTTCTCCAAAACAATCTATTTTACGCTGCAGCACCACACTGCTCTAATGGTATAATGAAATTCTTGTTGTAGACTGTGGAAAGTGGAGATTCACTGGTAGCACGGAGGTTTTGAAGATAAATGAAGATGCTATTCATTCAGGGGTAATTTCATCTTAGAACTATATGAAAGATGTTTCACTCACAAACAGTACCAGTATGGCTTGGGATTTAAGCATGTTTTCAGCTGCAACATAAAGCTGCTAGATTGATTATGTTGATACTGTATTTCTCATCATGAAGAATTTCAGTTTTTATTCTCTTAAAAAAAAAAAAAAAAAGATGTCAGGTTTTCATTTCACTGCTAAGCCTTTGTTCAAGGCTCAGCAACAAGTTCAAATTTCTCCTAATGTTTTGTCTAGGGAAAAAAACCAACAAACCACAATTCACACAAAAATCACAAATCTGTAGAGAGCTATTAATCACGGGTGATTTATACATGTATTTGATTACTTGTTGAAGTAAATAAGCAGTTAGTTTAGGTAACACCATTTTCAATTGTCCCAATATCCTTCTGTCATTCTGAACCAAGAACAGACTATTCTAAATGCGCTTTGCTGGAAAATAAGATGACCATTTTCAAGGGCATGAATTGCACAACTGATTAATACTTATCTCAATGTAACAAGACACAGGCTCTAAACCTCATGATCATTGTGAAAACTTCCAGAGTCCAGAACATTTTATGCAAGTCTATAATATTAACTGCATAAAGATTTCATAAGAATCTATAATAACAAGAACAGTCTTAGCTTCATCATTGCTATGGAACTTATGTATGAAGGCTTACATTTTATTCAGTACCATTTTAGATCCTGTAATATAGGATTAGTTACCAAAAATAAGTGTTCAATGTTTATATTGACCCAAGTTCATGTTTCCTTCCAGCAGAGTGTCTGAATAATTAATATGCTTCAAAACCCAAATATGGGGATTTTGGAGACCAGTCCCCGCCACAGCGTGCTGAGAGGCCTCGCATTCCTCTCGTGACAAGTCAGAGCAGCACCCGGCGATGCTCCCCGCTGCCGTTCAGCCAACCTGCCTGGCAAAGCGCAGCTGGATTAACCCCCTGCTTCCTACACAGCAATCCAAACTCCAGCCAGCCACTGGGGGAAGAGGCTCGACTTGCTCCACATACCACACAGCAAAGGAAAGCCCGGACAGGGCTTCTGCTTCCCGCTGCAAATACTCTCCTGAGCTAACCTGGCTTTAATACAAGTTCACAGCTCACAGAAGAAAAACGGTAACCTGTTTACAAATGAATATGGCCATTTCCTTAAGAATATAAATATCAAAGTAGTAAGGTGTGTGTGTGTATCAATACATACACATACATCCCAATCTAACATACTATCTGCAAGATAAAGACAGGAACAATTTGGCTTCTAAAATTCATATACTGATCTGCAAAATTTAAAAGTGAGCATTTTTAAAAAGTAAAAAGTAGTCTCTCTTCGTCTGATGACATCATCTACATTAGGGTGTTCTTGTATCATCTGAGTGCAACATAATAAATTTTACTTTCTTATACCATCATTTAATATTTTGTTACTGATTTTAATTAACTCAGGTTCTTCCTTTTTGCAGATGTGAAGCTGTTTAGTTATTGAAATAGTTATGCATTTTATCCTCTTTTTTTTTTTAATATGATGAGAGTGATAAGCAAGAGTGTTGTTTAATGTGAGCTGTACAATAAATAAGGGGAGACTGATTTTAACAGTGAGTCATGTTATTAGGAGTTGTATGTATTTTCATTAACTTTTATGCGAACAAGGCCGAATGCCTCAGAGGAAGAACACGGTCTTCATTCTACATATAACATCCTCTTTCTTGTAGTAACATAATCATTACTGAAATTCCAATTTCTCTTGATTTTAATTCCTTTGCAGTGAAAGCAAAATTGTATTCAGCATCAAGAGTTTGCAGAAGACCAAATGAGTTTCGTTGTCAACCACACTGTATAATAAGCTTCTTTAAGTTAACAAAGCAGTACAAGTACTAGGATGGATTAGAGGAGATACACTAACTCATTTGAAGTTACGTTGCATTTTCAGCAAATATACAGAATCTGAATGCAGTAAAAGACAAAGGAATACTGAATTCATTCTGTTTCCAGGAACAATACTGGGTGGAAAGGCAAACAGGTTTCATGTGAGGATGTGGGGAAGGGGGCTTGTGTGCGTGTGTTTTAAACTACTGAAGGGACCACTCCTTTGGCTATCTACCAATTCCTAAGGCTCCCTCCTTTTATAGGACAGGTAGACATACGGAGCTGGAAGTCTAGACTCTGTTGCACAATGCAAAGCCATAACTCCACTCCTGAAACAACAGACACAATCAAATTTGGTGCAGCACTTACTATTCATTAATTCAAACAAAACATGTGCAACAGCCCCGGTGCTACACCTACACCGAGGGTCTGCTTTCTGTTCCACCTGCTCTGTTGACAAGAGGAACGTGAAACGCCAAATGCACTGCAGCACATGCAGTATGCCAATGTATTGCAGCATGTCAATTTTCTATTCTGACTACTTACTTGCTATGGTATTGAATTCTATTATTTCATATACTATTATTTGCATGTTCTCTGAGAGGTATCCATGAGCAGTATTATAAAGAGGTCCTGTAAGGAGATTTCAGGAAAAATCTGAAAGACCAGCTGCAGTCTAGACATTTACAGTCTTGATATGAATCATACTCCTTAAAGATTTCCTGGTTGAGGAACCTTATTTGATCACAGGTAGTCAAATCTCTGATGCACTTTCACCATGTGGAAGCTCAACAAGCAAGTTTGGCATTTGCAGTGGTGATTTGTGCCCTGAATGAGTGCTGATTCTGGAACAGAATGGAAAGGGAACGGCAGTCCTGGGAAGAAAGCCCCAGGAACCAGCTCCAACATCCCCAACTCTCACTGTTTCCTCAAAAATTAAAAAAATAAAAAAGATAAAACATAAAAACAACACAAAGATAGACCACCAAAATAAAAAGCAAATCCAAAAACAGAGAAACACAGCAGTTTCTTTGTGTAACATATACTGGTGTATTTAAAGCTTTCTGATCACTAGGCTAGTAATACATAATTAAAAGTCCTAGTATCATTTCAAAATGAATCAAATATACTGAAGATAGATATTCTTTCACATGAACCATGTTATACAGATTTTTCTAAACAGATACCATTCCTCAATACAAAATTGTTCTGTAAAGTTTAAAATCAGATATCTACAAGAGCTGTATTTATAGTCATGGCTACTATCAGCTATCAGGCCAGGGAATATTGAAGAAAAACAAGCATTTTTAATATATTATAGTTAATTCATCATCTAAGTGACATCTGTAGGATAACAACAGACCAGAAACAGCAAAGCAAAATGATGCATTAGAAAAGGAAATTTTGGGGTTACATGATCATTTCTTTTATTTGCTTGTTTTAAATACAAGCCATACCTATATGAATTGTTAAATGGCAAAAAAAATCATGGCAACTGCAAAGAGTATGGAAGAGAAAGAATGGGAACCTTACATACCTCCTGCTCACCACCACTTTAGCCAGCCAGGCCCTCCTTACTAATGGGGAAAGCATCTCCTCAAGAACTGGTGTTACTGAAGCTAACAGGTTAATGGAGTTTGCATGGACCTCACAGGCACAGAGGTGCTTTGAAGTCAATTAGCGATGCAAGTTTGTCAATTATATAAACTGCTGCCAAAAACCACATTGGATCTCAACTCTGTGTACGTGCTGAAATTGAGAGTAAACATCAGAGAGATACTGAGATTTGATGTCTACAAAATGAACCAAATACTCCTTGAGTTTGGGGCAATATTTGCTTTGAGAATGAAGTGAGCAGCAAATATCGTGAGACATTAGAGCAGGAACCAGCAAAGCAAGTGACCAAAGGTGTCTAGCTCTTACAGGAGCTAGACAGTCAGATATTGCACAAATAAAAGCAGCATCACCCTAAAAATCTTACGTCCTTTAGGTTCTGGCACTTCAGTGAATTTAAAGAACATCAGACGTAGAGAAGATGGCAAGCAAGCAATTTTGACAAAAATAGTTCATAAATAATTCACTTAGGTAAATACAGTTATTTTAGCTGGAAGATATTCATTCAAAAATTAAAATGGAATTAATATATCTAGTTTGGAAAAGACGACATTTTACCTGAACTGCAAGAGAAGATGCATTATCAGAAAGTAAAATTTGTTCCTCTGTTGAAAAAAAAACAAAACCCACAATTATAAAAAAGCATTTAGCTACTGACCTGTAAATTTAAGTCTCCAAGTTACACATATAGCAGGGAGTACATATATAATTATTATGCAGCTCGACTAGAAAAACTGTGAAATGAATATTAAAAAGGAAGGAGAAAATGTACCAGGAATATTTTTTCTCACAATCACATTTATCATACATTACCAACAACGCACAATAAAAAAATGCTCACAACTAAAAACCAAATACTTGCGTTTTATGCCAATTACTCTTCTTCTAATCAAAGTTAAATAAAACTGCATCTTCATAACTCCTCTGGCTAAAAAGTAAAAGCATTCAGAAACCTATAAAAACTGCTTGAAGTTAATATTGCACACTGTGTCTAGGTCTGTCACACAAAAGAAAGATGACAAGTTCACTGCAATAAAAATTCCATGCTTAGAAGACTAGGGCTGCTACCTATTAGTCTTCATTACTTTGCAGTCTTCTGACAACTGTAGCAGGCTGCTGAGCCCCAAATGGGGGCCATAATGTGATCTGATGATATATGAAGAGCTGCTAAAGGGAGCCTGAACCATCCTAGCCTATACATTTTAACAGTTCCTTTTTACTGAGAGCCCACTTTACCACAAGACTTCAAAAATCTGCTGCCTCAGCTATTGGTGCAGTAAATCTGCCAACTGTGCCTGCAACCACATCATTTTACACTGCCTACAGCAGCCAATATAATGAGTCAATAATAAACCAAGGACCTTATAGGCCATGAATAGCTGGTTTATATTGGCAGATGCGAGCATGGCTAAAACCTCTGACCAGACAAACAACACAAAGGAATCTTTTAACAGTTTCTGCGTTTCCTTGAGGTTAATTATGTTACTGCATATTTAATGTGTTTTTACTTAAAGTAATTACTAATTGCAAAAAAACAGAGTACCCACCCTTCAGTTGCTGATACAGCGCAGCATTTTCAGGCCAAGGCTCTGCCGCTGTGGAAAGAAGAGAAATTAATTAGGCAAGCCAAAAAGCAACATATTTGCAGGGCTAACTGAACATGAATGATACCTAGAGCAGAAAACAGAATTGCAGAGATGCTGATACAAGACTTGACCTGTCCTAAAAATGTCCCACTGCTAGTCTTTTCTCCTGGACTTTTCCTCCCAGCAAGCAGACACACCAACACATGGGAGAAAAACATTTGGGAGATCCCCAAATCAAATGCTGCAATATAAGCTAAAATTCAAGCTAGGTCATGGAATGGCCTCGCAACTGTCAGGCAGCAAAAGCAGATTATTCTCTTTCGTAAAGACATTCTTGTGCATATTCCCAACACTACTCTTGCCACCTTCAAAAACTGTTATTTATAGAGTACTAAACAAAGGATTCTGGAAACAGCGTAACAAACAGGGAAGGGAGGCACAGACCTCAAAGCCAACAGCAAGGAATACTCTGGGGAAAGGAAAAAGCTTTTTGCCTTTTAAGGTTATGTCCACACTGGTCCTATATCCATAGCATACACAGAGCTAGGTGCTTGGGCATGTCAGAACCCAAGACACCAAGAAGACTGGCCCTGCCTTTTGCTTTAAATGAGGTACTGGTCAATTTTAGCATTGGTATGTCATGATTCCTTTTTTAAAAAAACGCATTCTCTGTTTAAAAAAAAAAAAGCCATTTAAAAAAAAAAAAAGGAATGACTATTAACATATTCCAGCTGAGAACCTTTGCGCTTGACCAATCAGTGAATTTATGGGAACATAAAAACAGTATTCAGTACTGATTTACTGTGAATGGTAACATTAGAATAACAGGTCTTTCACAACATTTTGTCTCCCTACATTCCTTGTTAAATTCATTTCGGAAGTCCATTTTCAAATCCTAATTCAAGTTTAGCATTCAACTCAGATTAGATACCTGTAAATAAATTTAATATTATAATCACACAAATGAAGTGTTATGGATTTTTTTTTTACAGTAACTAAGTCTACAAATAACCATGTATGCATCAAACCAGCTTGCTGCTGGCTTAGGTAAGGTCATTCATTGTATCATTACCTCCAGAGCTACAGGAAAAAAAATGCACTGTTTTGTAACTAACATTCTTTTTTGATACTCATGAAATATTAACTTTTATGAAAGCCAAACAGAATTATGAAGCTTTTAATTCTATACACAATTTTGCAAAAGACACTACCTTTAACATTAAAGCAAAAAAGTCTATCAGCGGTATACTAGTACAGGCATGAGAAAGCAACTAATCACATTTAAGTGTCATGAAAAAATGTTTTTATGTTTTACTGTAGCAGTTATTGGTTTTACACCCTCTCCATTAAAGTTTTGCCCTGGAGTTAAAATTCTTGAGGTGGAAGTATATTTATTTCTTTAAATAAAAAGGGACTAGACAGTGCCTGTGATAACACACCACTATTTAAATTTTCTTCAGGTCCAGTAAAGTCTTGCAAGAGCAAATGGAATGAAGAAATTAAGAAAGTAATTGCTGAATTTCAACAAATTGGTCAGTGCTGAACTTCAGAAAGTTATAAAAGCAGCTAAATCACAAAGGTAGGTTGATCTTGTATACGGCAATCCTTCAGTTATCCAGCCAAAACATCCTTTAAAAGCTGAAGACAACAGAATTTTATAGCGCATGAACCCATTTCTACTAAAATTTTTTGCCTCACCCTTTTCAGACTGGAATGTCACATTTTTAACTAATTCCTGGATTTTTGCCCTAACTGGGAGGGGCCTGTTTTACACAGACACGTGGTTGAAATATTTCAGACCCACAAAAATCAAATGAGCCTTTTATTTTCCAGCAGAAGGGCTAAGTACATTTCAACAAATTCAAACATTAATTCCACTCTAATCTCGGCAATAGTCTACACACAACCGTGGATATAAGTAACAGTTATAAGTACCTCAAGGGAGGCAGTGAGGAGGATGGTGCTGGCCTCTTTTCACTGGTGGCCACCGACAGAACTAGAGGAAACGGCCAGAAACTGAAGCATCAGAAGTTCCACAGGAACTTAAGGAAAAAATTCTTAACAGTGAGGGTGACAGAGCACTGGAACAGGCTGCCCAGAGAGGTTGTGGAGTCTCCTTCTCTGGAGATCTTCAAAAACCGACAGAACTAGAGGAAACAGCTGGCAACTGAACCATCAGAAGTTCCACAGGAACTTAAGGAAAAATTTCTTAACAGTGAGGGTGACAGAGCACTGGAACAGGCTGCCCAGAGAGGTTGTGGAGTCTCCTTCTCTGGAGATCTTCCAAACCCGCTTGGACGCAGTCCTGTGCCACGTGCTCTAGGTGACCCTGCGTGTGCAGGAGGGTTGGACTAGATGATCTCTAGAGGTCCCTTCCAACCTTGAGCATTCTATGATCCTATGATTCTATTCTTGGCACACAGAATCCAACACAACCACCCTACTAAGCCATGCCAGATCCCTGCTATAAACCAAAACACGAGTATTATTTGCAGTTTCTTTGCCTTTATCTGCTTAAAATTTCCTTCCACATCCTACTGACCCCACACATATCTGCTCAGGACTTGACCCTCATGTGGTTAGTCACAATATGGAGTCCTTATCTCATAATCTCAATATATGCAGAAGCACATGCCAAAATTAAGGGAAGAGACAGGAGTGATCTAAAATTTTTGCATCCTTTGAGTCACAGGCTAGTTCTGTACCAGGATATGGGTTTTGACAAGTAAATGAAACCAGAGCAAAGAGCTACAGAAAAAATCTCAGGCTGGGTATCAGTGCAAATTATAGTCCAAATTTCAGAGAAAAATGAAACAATAATATCACCTTCATTTGGCACCTGACAGTCTCCAGAGGAAGAGATGACATTCCTGATCATGTTGGGATGAAACAGACACATGTTCATGAGTCCTGAACTGAGACCTTCAGTTCTTGTGGCACAACTCAGACTAAAGAATTTGCTATTATTATTCAGGCTGGATTTTAAAACCATCAACTTCACTTAAGATTCACCCACTTTTACTCAAGTCCAAAATGATTTATTTTGCAGTATGTTTTCAGAACTGGATACAGCAGACCAAGGTGTGCTGGAAGAGTAACTGTGGCAAAAAAAATAGAAGGACATGCACAAAGCCTGTACAATTCTCTGGAAATCAAGAATTAAATATCTACTCACTGTCTGTCCTGTATCTTCCAATTACTGCTCACTCTCTGTTTCCTGCTCCGAGTATGGAATAACTGTTTCTGATGAAGGAAGAAGTTTAAATAGGCACTGCTGCACAGCATGTCCGGTTTTGAAAGGTGTAGGTTGAATTCAAGTATCTTTTCCAGAGTTGCCATCAACCAGTCATAAGGCCAAAATCCACAGCTCAGAGAGACCAGAGCCCCACTTGGGGGGAGAAAGGAGACAGACTCGCTAAAGGGATACCATGAACTTCCAAAAGAGGGGAAATTATGTAACATCTGTAACGTACAGCATGACTCTTGGCTTATGAATGTAGGTGAAGACATAATTTGTAGAATAATAGGCACTAATATTACACGCTGCTTCAGTTCTGTCATATTACCAATCCATCAAGTTGATTAATGCTGTAATAACGCCTCACAAACTTATCATTTGTGCACTAATGAAGTCAAATGTAGTTTATCCTTAGGCAACTATATTCTTCTGGTCTGTAGATGCTAGCTTCCCAGCTAACCAAGGACTAGGGCACTAAGTACATAAGAAGTAATAAATGTTGATTCCTGTGATGTTGATTCAGTTTCAGTAGCTTTCAACACAGAATCACATTTATGGGTTACATCCTACGCAACAGACATTTCAATCTTTAACTGCTCACAGGATGAAATAACTGCCTGCAAGTATGCCTTATGGGGACAGCTTCTCTCCATATCTTTAAGAATAAGGAACTATTTGCTTCTTTTCTTCTGCTTCCATAACCAGAGGAACTAATTCCATGTGGTTTTCAATGGGCGCCTCTCACACTTGTAATGTTCAAAGGCTGCCTTCCCACCTTCTGCAACTTTGCCCATCCTTAACAAATTCAAATATTTAGTCTTTCATGTGGATTCCTTGGTGTTCAGGACAGACAAACTTCATACTGTTCCCTTTCCATAAGCAGAGACACTAGTACCATTTCTCTCCTAACACACCGCTTTGTTGGTTTTCTTGTTGTTTTTTGTTGTTACAATTATAGGAAACAACCATTTTGTGGACTGGTCCTTCCTGTTAAATCTGTGTGAAATGACAGAAGCTGCTGGAAAGTAATAATTAAGCAGACATGAATACACACACAGTATCACTGCGTAAGCCTTTTTTTTCCCCAAAGACATCACCTCTAGAAGCTGAGAATTCAACAGCTGCAACATCACCACAACCAGAGAAGTTAAACGGCAAACAGACCAGCTACAGAAAATCTCCTTTGGTTTTGAAAGATGCCTACAAATAAATGAAAAATTCACTAAGCTTAAGGTGTTAGTTAGTCACCAAGTGTTCTACTTATTAGCAGTTTAAGGCAGAGAATGAAAATGTCACAGAGTTAACAAGGTTCATAGGTATCAAATTAGACTTTTGGAGGAGAATTCTGAGAATTGTGTGCTGTGTGTTCCAGCATAAAAATTTAATTAATTAGGTTTGTAATTACTTATTAAAACAGATTTCTAGGCTCCTCATCTGTCATATCATAGAAGGATTTACGAAATATATCATTTTTCCTCATACATACAGCTTCCAAAAACTTAAAGAGACACAACAGTCATGTCAAATTCTTTGCCATTAAAACTGCATGAGACCAGGTGCACTTTTCAGAATTGGAGAGAAACTTTCTACTCCAGCTATATTAAGGCCAGGGATATTCAATCAGAGTTTTGATTTTAACATTTCCAGACATTTCGAACTGTTTCAATATGAGCTTATACACCTGAATACTTTTGGGGCAGCAAGAGCAAAGAATGCACATACACCGTAAGAAAAAATATTTAAGAGCACTAGTCTTCACTACCAGCAGCTCACCTGAGATCTTGCACATCTCAACCCCAGCCACTGCTCTCAAACAGGACATACTATGTATTGCTCAGAAGTCCTTGCACAGAGGTGAATTTCAGCTCCTGAAATGAGCATCAACACTAAAATTCCCACAGGGAAGTCTGTGGAATAGAAAAGTATTACACCAAATACCCAAGTCAATGTGCAGTGTCTTAGCCCCAGCAACCCCTTCTCCAAGCTGTCCATGCATTTTATTAGAGCACCAGAAAAAAAAAAAAGAGGTTTCAAATCCTGCGCTCAGAATAGTTGTGAAACGCTTCATCCTCTCAGTGCAACCTGGATGGGAATAGGGAGAACAGACATCTTTATCCATGTTTCCCCAAGCAGCTTCAAAATAATGATGAAAGAGCTGTAACTAAATAAATGCTTTACAGTTATGTCTTTAATCCTGTTCCTTCAAAAATAGTAATAATAAAAATAAAACTCGGACTGTGAAAATGGTAAAACATGAAACACTTTGCATGTTAAATTGCAGAATATGCAACAATCTTTCAGAAGTTTAGTACGAATAACCAGTTTCAAGCAGCACAGTGGGTACAGGTACAATGTGGTTTGCCTTGCTAGTCTGCCACTCATCTAGAACATCAGTTGTCAAGCTACAGCACTCCTGAATATCAGATAAATGCAAAAGATTTCTAGATCCATGCATCAAGATGTTTCCTCCTGCAAGGGAAATAAAGTTATTAACAGGTAAAAAAAAAAAAAAAAAAAGGTTGCAGGAAAACACTCAATTCAAAATTAAACTGTTCTCAGCTCCTGGCAATGCCATAAAATGTGGGTAATGCAAGAATATTTCTGGAAGGCAGTGCAAATTGGAAATAATTTTCAGTTATAAAACTAGC